GGCGTTTAAAATCCTCAGCGTTACTGATTTTTCACTGATGTTTGTCATTTAGTATTTCTTCGTAAAATAGCTACTGTTTCACAGGAATTTACTAACTGTATGGTATGTTTCGCTGTTTGACATATTGCATGATTTATTCTGAGCTTTCACTTGGTTTTGTTACTTTATTTGATCGCGCACTAATATGGTGATTTGTAAAATTTTAAATGAATTAAGGAGATCGGTTTTATGGGGTCTTAATCGCAAGTATTTTATTTTTTTCCCATGTATTTCACAAGTGCCTTTATATCGAATATGCGATTTCAGTTTTGCCTGCACTGGAAATTTTTTTGAACTGCTTTGCTGTTTTTTAAGTTTTATTTAAGTACCACTGAGGGTGTAAATGCGGAATAAAATTTAACACACATGGCTTCTATTTTCTTTAGTGGCCACATTTCTTCGCACAACTGAATTGCAGCTCATGGTACCCACTTCGAAGTTTTGATAGGTTATAAGCAGAATGATAAATGAGATGCTGCACGAGCTCAACGCATGGAGTAAGAAAATGAACCTGAAAACTGACATGTCAAAAATGAGGGCCATACAAACTACCGCTGTTCGCTCGGCAAGATTGCAGATAGATGGTGCTGACATGGAAGAAGTTGACAGTCATGTCTGTCACGGTCAGAAGGCATGGATTACAATCTCCATCTAGCAGGTTCACACAAGTTGCCGGTTGACGCAATCGCACAGCGTTAGCGATGTTTTCAAAATGTCAGGTCGGAGCAACTGTTCCGCTTCAGTACCACTCTGTAAAAGTGATCTGCGGATGCGATTTTTATGCGTTTTTTGCAGCAATGCAATGCGAAAAACGCATATTGACGAGAGGTTGCCTGTGTGTGTTTGTGTGTGCGCTGGGCCTCTGTACCGATTTTTCATCTCGAGACCGGCAAAAGCTACGGGTCTGAAACTTTGGGACATAATCTACATGTACGTACGGGCCCCCATCCACAAAATTGGCGCCAAAACCTGCGTGGTACTCGCGTACGGGCCCGCCAAAGTTTTTTTGGGGTCGGTTCATAACTCGAGGACCTGAGAAGCTAGAAGGCTGAAATCTTGGGGTAATGTTCCCCGCCCAAGCGGGTATTAGTGGCTCAAACCCAGACCCCGGATAAGCATGGTG